GAGAGGGGAGTGACTAGTCAACTATCCAATAAGCATTTACTTACTGGATAGTTGACTAGTCCTTTACATCCCTACTACCAACTGTTAAAGCTGCCCAGATCTTTTTACTTACATTAAATCACTTAAAATATGTTTGATGCCCATAATAATTTGCATCAAATCAAGAAATTTTCATTCAAAATGTATTACTAGCACTTGATTACTAAAGATGCTAATCGGAATTATACTAATCTTCAAAATAAAGATAAAAAATAACTTGGGAGAATTTGCTTCAATGATACATAACAAAGCGTTTGTTTGAAACTGCATTCCTAAAAGGACTGTCGACATTTTCCTCGAGTAAGCATTTCTGGCAGGATACATGGCCAGAACAACCTTTGTCTGCTGCAGGTTCCCAGGGCTGGAGCAGCTCCCTGGCCTGTGGGGACTGCTCTAGTCCCAGCATTTTAACCGGAACTGGTAAGCATCACCTGGTAAGGGTGATGCTTACCTGTTAACTAGTTAATTTTTCACATCCTTATGCTGAAGCCCCCTTACAGGTGCCCTCGGTGGTTTTGTTTCCTTTAGTTATTTGAACAGTTATGTTAACCAGGGCTCAATGTGAAAGGGTGCTGACAGTGGAGCACGGTGAGTCTACAGCTGGAGAAAATCTTTATGGCACAGGCAGGAGGACATTACATCCATCCATATATGTGGAGAAAGTGGTAAACTGAGCTTTTCCCTCTTCCATCAAGTCTGAGCTGCTAATGTTTTGTTTTGTTTAAATCCGTGGTGAAAATGGGGATTTCCTTCCTTCCCCTCATTCACCAGGTTCAGATCCTAATCCAGCAAGGCACTTAAGCACATGCTACCATCAAGCTCCTGAGCAGCTTAATGCTTAAATTGCATTTTGAGAAGCATATGATGCCTAAGGACCATACACTGCCCTCCATCTGTGTGCAGAATTCCTATTATTGGCTCCCCCCCACACACACACATTAGTCATGTGGGAAGGAGAAGAGCAGTTAAATTCTAAATAGGCTGAATAGAAACTGGTTGAAAAAAAACATAACACAGTTATTGGAAGATGTAATGTGCTCTGAAAGTGAATCTTCATATTACTGCAACTGAACATCGCTACCAGGGCTAGATACAGGGCTGCTGAAAAGAGTGTGGAAAACAGGTTGTGAATGTGCTCTCTCTGTGGACCTATTAGTATGGGGTCATGCCAGTGTGTATGCTGGAAAGGAGGGTTAAGTGCTCCCAAAAATCATGATTCACTTTTGT